CCACACTTTGTCATCTGCAGGGATCCAAGATGGCTATTGGAGTTTCTTGCTGACCTATGACATTTAGAGATACTGATGTCAAGATCGTGGATTAACTGTGTGGCAGTATCTAAAACTATTAAAGGAACTAAAGGAATGCATTCATTTTTATTTCTATCTTACTTTGGTGGGACAGGAGGAAATCTGTCTCTATTTTTATGCTGTCTGGCTGGTGGTGGTGTGCTGGAGATGGACAGGATGAAAGAAAAATAGTCAAAGTTGAAATGTATGGGATGAATAGTTATATGCTAAAAGCTGGACTGCATCAATGTTGTCAGATCACATGGAACTGAGATCTGATTTTAGAAGTCCAGCTTTTAATTATGCCGCTGTATATAATGTAAATAAGTAAGACATCTTTATCAGTCTTCTTTAGTTTGGTGTCCAGTCCTTGTCTAAGATTCCCAGACAAGTCTAGATGATAGTTATAGAAAGGTCAGTTTTGGAATAGTTGTCTTTATTTCTAGGGTATTTGGAATCTGGTCCTTTTTGATACAAAGGTGCAAATCTTAGGAATATGCGAAAGGATAGCATGTATGACAGATATCTTCTGCATTTCATAGAATCCCTATTGTGCAGAAAGAAGCCGTTCAGTCCATCGAGTCTGCACCCATTCTCCAAAGGGCATCCCACCCAGAGCCACCACACCCCACGCGCACCCGATCCCCATAACACTGGATCCACCTAGCCTGTACATTCGTGGACACAAAGGTGTAGTTTAGCATGGCCAATCCACCTAACCTTTACATCCTTAGACTGTGGGAGAAGACACAAGCAGTCATGGGGAGGACGTGAAAACTCCACATAGACATCATTCAAGGCTGGAATCAAACACAAGTCCCTGGCGCTATGAGGCAGCAATGGTAACCACTGAGCCACCATATTTGGAGACAGTAAACTTAAATCCTGAAAACTTCCAAAACCTTATTGAACCAAAACAAAAACAGAAATTGCTGGAAAAACACAGTAGGTCTGGTAGCATCTGTGGAGAGAAAGCAGAGTTAATGTTTTGGGTCCAGTGACCCTTTATCAGAAATCAAGGGTCATAGAATCCCTACAGTGTGGAAACAGGCCCTTTGGCCCAACAAGTCCAGACTGATCCTTGAAGCATCCCACCCAGACCCATCCCCCTATAACCCATGCACCCCTGAACACTACAGGCAATTTAGCATGGCCAATCCACCTAGCCTGTGCATCTTTGGACTGTGGGAGGAAACCAGAGCACCTGGAGGAAACCCATGCAGACACGGGGAGAATGTGCAAACTCCACACAGCCAGTCGCCCGAGGCTGGAATCAAACCTGGCGCTGTGAGGCTGCAGTGCTAACCACTGAGGCACCGTGCCGCCCCTGGCACTGGACCCAAAACGTTAATTCTGATTTCTCTCTGGAGATGCTGCCAGAACTGCTGAGTTTTTCCAACAATTCTGTTTTTGGTTTTATTTTCAATTTCCAGCATCTGCAGTTTTTCCATTTTTTGGTTAAAGCCTTTTTTAATCAATTTGGAGCTGTTGATGAATAAGATGAGAGATTAGCTACATAAAATGTCCCATCTAATATGATCAAATGTGTGAGCAGGTTTATGCAAACTTATGCATTTCTGATCCTATAAATTATTAAAATCAAACAAATTTAAAAGAGTCAGAACATCTTTATTGCTATATTGTTGAAAATGTTGAATAGCAAAGTCTCAACTGTCCTGGCTGTCACTTGTACTGATGCTTCCCAGTATTTCTTCTAGAAAGAACACATACACATGCATACAAATTGTGCAAGGACAGGCTCTAGCTCTTCTGTGCTACCTCCTGTATTGGAATAGGTTACTGACATTGCCTACTGGAATCAAGCAATAGTCCTGGATATTTGGATGAATCATTGAAGAATTGCTGATTTCCACAGCCCCATACTTCTGTAAGACTCAACAGCTTAAAAAAATTAAAAACTAAAGCAGTGAGTCATCATGAAAATTCCCACCATGATATCACCCTCTGCATCTCTGTAGGCAGTTCTGGGAGTTATCTGTACTCTAATTCTGATTTTAGTATCCTTGATTTTAATCACTCCATCACTAGTGACCTTGCTTTCTGTTGCTGAGGTATCAAAGCTTTAGAATACCGTCTCTGTTATTCTACCTCACATATCTTCTTTAATAATTCTTTAAAACCTACCTTTCGTGGAGAGATCAGCTTTCTTAT